GAAAGAGTGACCTGGAAGTGGAGTAACAGAGTTAGCTGATGGCTGTAAAATAAAAACACACATGCAACAGTTTCTGCAGCGTTCCTAAACTTCAAACAATATAAATTCTGTGTATAAGGCAATTTAACACCCCTTTTCATGGTTACACCAACTATAAAACACATCACTGAAAAAGACAGTAAGCCCTCAAATAAATCAGCAAATGCAGTCATTTTTGCCACTCCTTTCAACTGTACACAGTAATAACTCCTAATATCAATCTTTTAACACACCCTGGGCAAGCAGCTGAATGATGAATGGAAGAAAATGAAAAACCTTTATTGTAACATACTTCCTTACACTGCTTTGGAGGTTTTACATAAGATCAAACATCTAGAACAATTGCACTGAGGTTGTTCAGCCAGTTTTTGTTAAATGCACAAAACATTACTACAGTAACATCACTACCTAAGACAGACTTGAAATAACATTAAGACTTCAGTAAATGCATTTATTGCTAAATACCTTTAAATTACTTTATGAAGCAACTGAAAAATCTTTGTGTCTAAAGACTTTAAATCCTACAGACCTGAGGATTATTAAGAGATCACATCTAACAGGAAGTTTCATTTTTATGAATTGTTAAGCTGATTGCAGACAAACTGACGAGTACATGAGGGCTAACACGTGTCGTCCGAGTGAATGTGAAACTGGGACAATGCTAGCCTAGCTCATGCTAATGGTTATGTGTCGACGCTTTGCCTTTCTCGTTTCGGATAACACCACCCTGAAGACTAAACAGTCGCCTTCAAACACGCCCTGCTATAATTTATTGTTGACCCCTAGTTACCCGGGCTGACTTAGTCTTACCCAACGCTTACCGAAACGATTAAAAGCAGTGGCACAGGAAGGAAACGCCTCTACGGGAGGAAAAACTGCTTAATTCCTACACAGGACGTGGATTACACGTGCTTTGTCGAAATAATCCAGATCCAACGGAAGGGCAAATTTAACCCGATCCATCTAGGATCATTTCGAATTATATAACATTTCTGTATTTACTGACTATTATTATACCGATATCCTATCGTAAATCGATCATTTCAATAACACTCAAAAACCTTGGTATATGCCATTTTATATATTTTCTATAATCCAATGAAATGTCAATGACCCCAGATATCAAATAACTTCGATGTAAAACAAGAAGAAACAGCTGATTTCACGAGGTCTTTGTTCACACACCGGATGTCCATACAGCGATATCCTGACGGGCTTTTTGTTCAATAGGCCCCCGGTAAGCTAACCGCTAACAAGCTGTAAACAACTCGCGAACAAACCAGTTCAGGTTTCCCTGAACACGAAACCATTACGAGACAGCTTTTCTATGTAAAGGAGGTCAGCCAATACTAAACCTGAATATCCAGATTCGTTTTTTTATTGCCTGGTAAATGAACATCAACCCTAAAAACGAACTTCCTAAAAGACCGGTTAACTAACAGGGAAGGAAAACACCGACATATCTTACCTTTACGAAAGGACCGTCAGTGTAATTGTCGTCTTGTAGACTATGAAGTAAAAGGCAAATTGGAAAAGAAAACGCTTGGAATCGCGTTAAAACCTACAAGGTCTTCTTTTAAAACGACAGGAAACCAAGTGTTGAGACGCAGACGCTATTCTCGACAAGGGAGAAAGATCACTGACTGGTCGTCAACGTCACGTGTACGACGTTCATTTTATAGGCTCGGTCTCATACGTCATCATCCCACCCTGCTCACATCACGAGCTCGTGAACCTTTCGCAATACGGGGACTTAATACGTGTAGTGCTGGAACAATATGCCATGTTGTTTTATATCTGTGGTTACATTTTAGATATCCATGGAATTTCTACTAGAATTGTATTCTCACTAGTTAGAATGGTAGCGTAATGAAATATACTTAAATATATAAACTATAGCATTCTTACTAGGCTAGGGGAAATGTGTGTGTATTTTAAAGATATGTACAATATAGATTTTACTAGTCATAACTAAATTTAAGATATCTAAAACGTTTTAAAGTATAGCCTATAAGTGGCTGTTTTAACATTTAATTGCTAGACTTTCCAGATGCCATTCCAGATATATATATATGATAAACTGCGTTTAGTCATACTATGAACTGTGGATATCCATAATGACATTTTTGCTAGTCAAAATGTATTACAAATATTCAAATTTACATTATAGATAGCTGCAATGGGTTTTCATACTGGATATCTGAAATTAAAATTATGACTAGTAACAGGAGGATTGTAGATACCTGAAGAATATTACTGCAGATATCCAGAATGAACATTCTGGATATCAAAAATAATGCTGTGGACATCAGAAATTGAAATTGAAATTCATAATTAAAATATAGTAAGTCAAAATTATAGTGTGTCATAATTTTGACTTACTTTCTCATACTAGTGAAATAGTTGGTCAAATCTGTATTATCCCATGATTATGACTTTTCACCTCATAATGCTGAGTTACCATATGGATTTTTAATTTTAATTTTTTCTCATGCCTATAACATTTTATCAATTTCATTATTTTCCACAGGGCAACTCAGTGTTTTTGCCTTCCTCTAAAACTATGTTGAGGCACAGGGTTAGCCAAAGAGCATCAGCTCAGGAGTCAGAAGAGATTCAGTGTTTTCCTTGAGGATGCCACAGGAGGAGTGCAAACCCTCCACCAGAGAAAGGACACTCCCACTCTTATGCCCAGCTGGTATATGAGCCAGCTACAGGTTGTGTTCTAAATCTGTTCACACTTATCCCTCCTATTTTTTTCTTAGTGTGGAGATGCAAAGAGTAAGATATTTCAACATGTACCTGCCATATTTTCATATAGTTGTCACAGATATTAATAGTCCCCAGAGGATTCTTGGTGATTTTGGAGACCACCTGATCGTTCCAAAACTTATCAAAAAATGTTCATAAAACATTCAGTGGGTATTCATAGGCCCCACAGGATTAAAAGTAATGCTTACTGTGGCCACCTGACCTTTCCTGTAGCACCACCATTAGGACAAAATGTCAACCCGTTCCCCTTCGTTCATTGCAGGTTTATATTGACTTTTCAGGCTTTGTGTTCGGTGGGGACCATAAGAATCTGATGTGGTCTGCACTTTATTTCATGACCTCATTTTATTTTTCTCAAAGTGGAGTAGTAGATGAAGGGTATAACTGTTTCTTAAAAACTTGTGGCACTTTGCACCTCTGTTATTGTAGATATTGACTTGACATGATGAGTCACATCTTCCATCTGCTCGTAAATGACTACAGAGCGAGACCAGACTGGTAACTCCTCTGTGTTGCTCAGGTTACACTGTGCCACCCATTATGAAGAATAAGGGATGTTGAAAACTTTGCTGTCATTATGAATAGCATTATCCAGATAAGACATAGTGAAGTGTTGTGTGCAGTAGTTAATAGCTTGAAAATCTTACGTAGGTACATTTCCACTGTCTTGTGATGTGGTTAGACCTGCCTATCCAGGCTGTCTGCACACTGTGCCGACATTGTATTTGTGGCAAATTACCCACATGTCTAATACAAACCAGACTCTGATGTGAAATACACAATAGTCCAAAGGAAGTTGCTTTTTACCTTTAGTCTCACCCATTTCACTTGTGGCCCTTTATAGCAAAACAGTATCTACTTGTGATCCCCCCCATGGTCATATTTCACATTAAAAAGGGAAAACCTAAATGCAAATCAGAAAAGTAAACATGCCTATACATAAATCACTTGTTGATGAAGATGCAGCTAAAAGATCTGAAACAACTAAGTGAACCTGGAGCTGAATTACTTCACGCATACTGTATTTACTCATAAGACAGAGATCTGTTTTTTCTTATTCATTTATAATCTTTTTAATCATCTCACAAATCCTTAATTTAGGTTGACTGCCTTCAATCTTAGTACATCTTTACATTTCTTTAAACTCTCAAATCCATGCTGACATCTGCTTCTGGATCTTATGACTATATCAGAATGGAAGCTAAAGACCAGAAGAAAACCACAATGACGCAACATGTTTGAGAAATTCTTGTTTATTCATCTATGTTATCTGATCACTGAGTAAATGATTAAAGGTTCCTCCCAACACACAGACAGATACAGATATACTTAATCCCATCATTTTAAAAGATGTTTGCTTCTTCATGTTAATTTTATCATTTTCCCTGTTAGTCAAGGGAGTGTCGGACCTTTTTCTGTGCCTGTGCTTGTTTGCTGATTCACTCCTGAGGGGCATCAATCATTCATCAAAAGCAAAATGAAGCCAGTTGTCTGACAGTAAACACTCAGCCTCAAGCTAATTAAGCCCAGTGTGCCAGTAAAGTCAGCAAAGGCTACTAGCTAAAAACAGTTCCAGTTGGAGGTGATGTGAAGCTGGTTGTCACTGCAGTGGTTTGTTATGTTTCTCTTTTGATGGGGGCTTACTGATGTTATTTAAACCTTGTTTAAAATTTTAAATAGAAAAATACTGACCACAAATTATACTTTGAAACATCTTTATAATAATACCATCTTATATTAGACCCCAAAATTTGTTGTGTGAATTGGTAACATAAAAAACTAAATTTATTTTTGTGCTGTAATGCTGATGCAATATTTAGCACTTTACATTTCATGTTGGACGCTCTCCTCTACATTTCACCCAACCCAACTATTTTGGAGCAGTA